AATGGTTGAAAGACCTAAACGTGAGACAGGAGTCCATCCAAATCCTAGAGGAGAACCCAGGCAGCAACTTCTTCGACCTCAGCTGCAGCAACTTGTTCCTAGAAACATTGGCAAAGGCACGGGAAGCCAGGGCAAAAATGAACTATTGGGATTTCATCAAGATAAAAAGCTTTTGCACAGCAAAAGAAACAGTCCACAAAACCAAAAGACAACCAACAGAATGGGAGAAGATATTTGCAAATGACATATCAGATAAAGGGCTAGTATCCAAAATCTATAAAGAACTGATCAAGGGGGTTGGGGGGATGGGTTTGCCTGGTGATGGGTATTAAAGAGGGCACATTCTGCGTGGAGCAGTGGGTGTTATGGACAAACAATGAATCATGGAACACTACATCAAAAACTAATGATGTAATGTATGGTGATTAACATAACAATAAAAAATTATTAAAAAATAAATAAATATAATCTTTCTCATAATGCTTAAAAAAAAGAACTGATGAAACTCCACACTCAAAGAACAAATGATCCAATCAAGAAATGGACAGAAGACATGAACAGACATTTTTCCAAAGAAGACATCCAAATGGCCAACAGACACATGAAAAAGTGCTCAACATCACTCGGCATCAGGGAAATCCAAATCAAAACCTCAATGAGACAGCACCTCACACCAGTCAGAGTGGCTAAAATTAACAAGTCAGGAAATGACAGATGTTGACTGGGATGCGGAGAAAGGGCAACCCTCCTACACTGTTGGTGGGAATGCAAACTGGTGTAGCCACTCTGGAAAACAGTATGGAGGTTCCTCAAAAAGCTGAAAATAGAGCTGCCCTATGACCCAGCAATTGCCCTACTGGGTGTTTACCCCATGATACAAATGTAGGGATCTGAAGGGGTACATGCACCCCAATGTTTATAGCAGCAATGTCCACAATAGCCAAACTGTGGAAAGAGCTAAGATGTCCATCGACAGATGAATGACTAAAGAAGATGTGGTATTTATACACAGAGAGAGAGACAGAGTCAGAGAGAGAGGGGGCATGTTAGAGAGAGAGAAGCAGATAATCGTAACAACTAGAAGAAGAAAACTATAAGAACTCTCCCCCTCTCCTTCTCCCACTCTCTGATTTGAACAAATGAAGGACTATAGTCCTTTACCAAGAAAATGGCTTCTTTACACTAATTTTCGATCAATGGTAACAATCACACAGTAATGAGAGAGATGTACTGATAAATTGAATTAGTAGTCCTGTTTTGCAGGATGATTTGTGGTAAATACTGTGGGTCTCTTTCTCTGCAGTCTATGAGTCATAGCTGTGTGTGCAGAGCACCACTTCCTCTCTAAATCATCCCTCAGATTTGCTCTGTGATCAGCCCAGTATTCAACTACCTCTCCTGACAGTGCTGGCAGGATGCTGCTCCCACCACAGGTCATCCTGGTGGCCTCCCTGTGGAGCTGTAAGTGCCTTTACCCTTTGGAGATTTCACTCAGTGAAGAAAGGAGAGAAAACATGGACAATCAAGTCAGCCATTATGGGCAGAAGAAAGCCCAAAAGTCATTCAATCCAGGCTGATAAATTCCACCATGACTTTGAATTCTTCAGGAAGAAAATGTAAACCGCAGACCTCAAGCTTTTCACTGATAGAAAACAAATGTGTACGATTTTAAGGAATGTCAAAATTTTGCTAATTGTTGTTTTTGTTTTCCTTTCAGATACAAATGCAGACATTTTAATAACACAACTCATACCATCCATTACCAAGAAACAAGGAAACACAGCATTTTTAGAATGCCAAATAAAAACAAGTGGCTTAAGGAATAATGTATATATTCACTGGTACCGACAGAAGCCAGACCAGCCTCTAAAACGAATTCTGTATATCTCCTCAAATGAAAATGTGGTCCATGAACAAGGTGTTAGTGAGGAAAGATATGAAGCCAGGAAACGGCAAAATGATTTGCTAGCGAGTCTCAGGATACACCAAGTTAATGAGGAAGATGCTGGGCTGTATTACTGTGCCTGCTGGGATACACTGTGTGGAAATACTCCACAGCCACTGAACAAAAACCCTCCCACAACTCCACACCCCTGCAAACACATACACACTCCTTTGTACCTCCCAGAGGAACCTGGCTACTGTCTCTACAGGACTTTTCTCCTGCATCTATGTCCTCGGCAAGATCTGAGCTAGGAGCCCAAGCACCCAATCTATGTTGTTTCTTTTAGTTAGATCACTTTATCATCTATTTACCTCTCTGGGGCTTAGGTTGGCTTTTGTTAGTGACCTCTCTGGTGTCCTAGTTAGTGTCCTCTTCCCCATCTATGATCAGTTTCCCGGGGAAGGAAACTAAATCCAATGTGCCAAATGGTGTGCTGACTTGAATGAATGAATGAATGAACGAATGACAGAAGATATAAGGCCTTTGAAGTAACATGGCCCTGGGGTTTAATTCCTGCTCAGCCTCTTAACTGACAGCACCATCCAGAAAGTTACTCCATCTTTCTCATAGGGTTGCTGGGGACTGAAGGAGGCTCCACACAGGACAGGTCTAGCACAGAGTCAACACATCACAGTGTCCTTTCCCATTACAACTAAACGGGAAATTTTCACTCCCGTTTCACTGAACCATCTCAGCTAACACAGGAACTCAGGGATTTTTTTAAAGGGCACATTTTACATTGTCCTCCCAGCAATAGTAGAGTTTGCTTTATTTGGAAAAGCTGAGAATTATGAATAGGAAAAGAGTTGAGGGTAATAAACCAAAGGATATTTTTCCTCCAAGAATTTTCTTCGTTCATAGCAGAGTATAGAAACATCCTAGCATCTAAAGCAACAGCTACAGCAATTGTTAATATTCACCAAGCCTTGGGAACTTTCTACAAACTACTGATCTATAGAATGTACATACTTCTGAATAAAGTTGTGGGATTATTGTCTCATTTGTTATTACATAAAGTAATAAGACTTTTCTTCCATTTCTCACAATAGCCATATTGTTCCACACACTCTCCCAAAATATGGTGGAAAATCTCTTGAGAGTGAAAAAGAGCTCAAGGATAGGTGTGTTTGAAGCAAAACCTAAAGAAAAAACGTGAGGATGTTGCTCCCAAGGGGAATATAACAATGAATTTTTATAACATGGGGTTTAGGTGAGATCTTCTGGGATCTGATAGTTCTTTATACCAGGAACATAATCAATAACACTGAGACAGATCTTACTGAGAAGGTCTTTTATTGGTTTTTAAAACAAACCTTCCTCCCCCATCCTTGCCTCTGAAGAATATAGGCTGCCACTGCCTCCCCAGTCCTGATGCATGCCCCCTCTTGGAGAGAATTCTGACTAGTTACTTGCATTGCCAACCCCACAGATATATGGGTCTTTGACTTGGGTTTGTTGGTTGAATATATTCTTTTCTTGTATCTTCACTGTTTTTATGTCCACTGTCAACTTGTTCAGGTACATCTGATCTCACCCCCTTGCATTTCAAATGGAGACATCAAAATAAGAATCTTTCAGAATCAACTTTCCTTTACCCCAACACCAGACAGAACATTGCACATACATTGCAAGCTGTCTGGGGTTTCCTTGGAGAAGGCTATTATGCATGGTACCCACTAAAAGAAGAAGAGCCCCTGAAATGAATTCTATATGGCTCAACCAATATCACCTGTAAGACTAGCCCAATTCTGGCTTAGTCACAGATAAGAAAAACAACAGAGTCTTTTACCTGATAGTCAATCAAGTCCTCACATCCCATGAAGCCACCTGATATTGTGCCTACAGGGATCTCACAGTATCACAGAATCAGAAGGAAACTGTAAGAAATCCTTCTCTATGACTAACCCTCAACTCCTTTCTCACTTGAGCAACCACAGAAGACCCTTTCCTGCTCCTAATCAGAGGTTCATAAGCTGTTGGCACAGGAAGGGCCCTTTGGACATTTATAGCCTGATGCCCACACAGCAAATGGGACGTGGGAACCCAGGGATGGCAAATGTCTTGTCCAAAGCTAGTTAACCACAGAAGTAGGGCTACAAATGCATTTCTGAAGATCACAGAATAGCTTCCAAGAGGCTTCTTCTTTCAACATTTCAGAGAAATGGATCGTGTTTTCAAATTTTGGTTTAAATCGAAATCTATCATCTCATGGGAGATGGACTTCTCTACATATTTCTTTTTTATTCCAGGAAAAATAATGTTACACAAATTATTTTCTCATTTTGCATGGTGTGGTAAAGAATCATGTTGCCAAGTCGTAAAAGTAGATTATTACAAAATGGAGACCATTGGGTGCCTGGGTGGCTCAGTTGTTTAAGCAACTGCCTTCGGCTCAGGTCATGATCCTGGAGTCCTGGGATCGAGTCCTGCATCGGGCTCCCTGCTCAGCAGGGAGTCTGCTGCTCCCTCTCACCCTCCCCCATCTCATGCTCTCTCTATCTCATTCTTGCTCTCAAATAAATAAATAAATAAAATATTTAAAAACACAATGGAGACCATTGATCACATTTCTCAAGTATATCTCTGTTGGTACGTTGCATTTGGGTTACTGAAGTTTCCTCCTTTAGAAATATAACCCCATATTGCTAACAGAGCTGGTCTGGTGTTTGTGAGAACAGAAGGGCTTTTCCTTTGATGCATCTCTGAGCAGTTTCACACAATTGAACACCTGGAAATCAAAACCTCTTAATTCACTGAATACTTTTCCTGATAATGTAGATAAATAGTTGGTTGACCCGTTACTCCCAATCTCTCTTTTTTTCTTTTGCTTTTATTGTTTTTGTTTTCTATCAGCACTTCTCAGTGATTACTGCCTCCTTGGAAAACAGACATTTGGGTCAACTAATCCCAGGAAAACATAAAATATCAGATGCTATGAGCTTGTATTCAAGGACTTCCAAGGGAATCCAGAAGATCAGAATTGCCAGTACAAGGTTTCTACCTGCTGGTCCTGCCGTGAAGCTCAGGAGAAGGCTGATGTTTTCGTAGAACCTCTAACCAGTGTGATAACTCAGGCTGGATCAAGATATTTGCACAAGGAACTAAGCTCATAGTAACTCCCCCAGGTAAGTAACTTTGTTTTGTTTTGATCCTGTGAATGAAAAATTGATAGATGCTTTTAGAAAAAAACAATATAGGATCACCTCAGCATATGGACAGCAATTTTGCAGCTACTGGTCATTCTAGTGGGAAGAAAACTACTTTGCAAATGATTTATTTATTTCCCTGCTTGCAAGCAGATTGAAATACTACTTTTAGAAAATACACACACACTAAAATATACTCAGGATTGAAATTAAAATTTTTTTAGGACTGTGTCTACAAACCATTGGTGTGAGTTTTTGGTTCAACATGCTGTTCTTGTAGACAGTCTCTTAAGTGAGAAACACTTTATTTAACTACCTCTAGTATTAATAGTGCTCCTTTCTTAATGGTAGTGCATCTTTCTCTAATAACATGTGAAATATATGATTTCTTTGATCTCTTTTTAAGAGAAGTGCAAAAAAAAATAACTCTTAGAGCAAATGACTGTAGAACATCAATAAATCTCACTTATTATTGTAGCATCTCAGAGGGGAGGCTGAGACTGGTCAAAACTTGTGCTTGTGGCTCTTGTGATATTGCTCAGAGATGGTCTAGTTTAATGGAATTTGTGAACTCAGTAAACCATTTCAGTTCCAGAACCCATGAAAAGAGTCTGTCTGCATGCTTTTACATTTTTGTTTGTTCATTTATTGTCTCAGCAAATGTTTATTGAAGACAGTTTCTGTACTGGATGCTAGAGATAAAAGGGTGGACAAGACACAGTCTCATCCCTCAAAAAGCTTCCAGTCTAGAGGACAACTATTCTAGATTGTAGCTTCATTGGGTCCCACATTTTTCTGCTTGTGGCTACCAGAGACACAGAACATCTTAGATTCATCAACTCTTTTGCTTTCTTAATTTATGTAATACCTATTGCTTATAAAATTCACATATTTGGGGCACCTGTGTGGCTCAGTCGGTTAAGCGGTTGCCTTCAGCTCAGGTCATGACCTCAGGGTCCTGGGATAGAGCCCCACATCAGGCTCCCTGCTTAGCAGGGAGTCTGCTTCTCCCTCTGTCTCTGCCCCTCCCCCCAGTCATGCTTTCTCTCAAGTAAATAAATAAAAATTTAAAAAAAATAAAATTCATATGTTTGTTGGAAGAATTTGATAAAAAGGCCTTTCACTGTCCTTGTAAAGGGAACAATAATATTAGCTAAGATTTATTGAGGGTCAGTTACCATGCTGACTAGTTTAGTGAATTATCTCATTCCTTAACAGCCCTATACAGAAAATCTTCTCTTTCCAGTTTCACAGGTGGGGAAACTGAGGCTTAGAGATGTTCAGTTTTTTGTCTAAAATCACATGGCTAGTTACTATGGCAAAGAATGGGATCCAATAGAGACTTGTCCATTCCAAAAATGTGGTCTAGACCATTATGTGATATTAGAAACATTAGGCCATATTTTTTTAAGATTTTATTTATTTGTTTATTTATTTATTTATTTATTTATTTGAGAGAGAGATGGCGAGAAAGTGCACATGGGAGGAAGAACAGAAGGGGAAGGAGAGTTGTACTGCATGCAGGACTCAATTGCATAACTCAGAGCTGCCTTTGCACTCCTGCTGGGACAGCTGCAGAGAGACCAAAACAACCAGGATCCTCTGATGGAGCAACTCAGAATTTTAAATCAATTCCCTGGAAACTGTTAGGGTAATTTCAAGCTCAAGGGAGCAGTCCTTCAGGAATAACTAGGTTAAGAGATGATCATTATGATTTCAAACTCTGTAACAACTTATCCGGTCTCGTATCAGTGGGAATTAGATTCTGGAAAGAACTTACTTTACAATTAAACCAGATATCCCCACCCCTCAATATATGCAAATAAAATAATCCTGTAAAACTACTGAACACTCATTTATTAAATACTTAAATATATTATTTCTATTTTTTTCTTCTTTGAAAATTAAAGAAATAATAACTGTAAATTACACTCCAGTAAAAGAAGTGTTATCATAGAAGAAAACCCTTTAAGGGAAGAGATTAGAACTTTCAGGAAAATGGTGAGAAAAGGTAAAATCATATTCTCCAACCCCTGTGAGTAAGACGGGAAAGACAGAACCAAGCTGACCAGGCAGAGAGGGGTCAGTTCATCAGTTCATATCTAATGTGATTTTGCTTCAGGTTCATCTTTGTTTAATGTTAGCAGGGTTTGGGGCTCCTGCATGGTTCAGTTGGTTAAGGATCCAGCTCTTGATGTAGACTCAGGTCATGATCACAGGGTTGTGAGATAATTATTTCCCTGCCTGCTGGTCATGCCTCTCCCCTCTCTCTCCCTCTCCCTGTGTCCCAACCCCCTGCTTGCACCCTCTTTCTTTCTCAAAAGAAAAATATTAGCAGGGTCCATTTTTATATATTTATATAAATATTGAAAAAATATGGGCACTATTTTAAAAGAGGCACAAAAGGAGTTTTTTGTAAGAGCTTTTCAGATAGTGGGATTGGTATGGCTGGAGCAGCAACAAAGTGCTTGGTCCTGGCACACAGCTCAGGATTACAGGTAAATTTTCTTTACATTCTTCTGTATAAGGTAGGGAAGGAAGGCAGGTGATGCAGGGCCTGCAGGCTAGGTGCTGGTGCTGGCTCAGAATTTTAGGATTTGGTCCCAGTTTGGTCACAAGTTGCAGCATGATCCTTGGAGAGGTTGGTGACTCCATCCCAGTCCTTGGAGGTAGTTGCTGCCTGAGCTAGCATGGAGAACATTAACAAGGACTAACTAGCTGCAGCAACTGCAGGTCCCTAAGAGGAGGAAATGTTAGGTCCATTTGGGATTTCTGTATTGAAAGTTTTGTAAAGAAGACTGTATATCTTATTTATGTGATTCCAAAAATAACCAATGGAAAAGAATGAACAAAAATTGCTAAACTTTCATTTGGTCAGAGGATGATGAATATCAACTATCAAAATATTTAACTATGCAACGCACTTAAAAATGTCATAAGCTAGGTTTCCCCCCCCACATCAGTCTGGTAAATTTGTTCATTTTTCATTAGCCTTAAAGATGAAATTTTGCCTGAATGAGGGAGAATATCTCAGAAGGATGTTTCTAGAGTACTAGGTCTAGTCAAATAAAAGTTTTCAAAGAATTTTCACAAAGGTGATAAAACATTGAAAAAATGAAAGAAATATATTTAGTTTTCCTTAATGGTTATGAAAATAGGTACAAATGAATTCATAAATTGAAAAGCAAGTTTCTGGTGCTCTTTTTTCCAACTGACTACATAATCAATGTGAATTCTAGCAATCAAGTTTAATACTGGTGACACAGACATAATTCACGAGTTCCTGAAAAGATGTTTTTGAGAAGAGTGTGGTGTAAAGAGGAATATGGACTATGAATCTAGATCTATCACTTTCTGTATAATCTGGTTATTGCTTTCTTAAAATTTTAAAAATAATACATGCTCATTATGAAAAAAATTGGAAGAGAAAAATAAAGAAAAAAATTAAAACTTTATATGACACTTGTTACTGTTTTAACATTTTGGATTTTTATCCATTCTTATTATTGATGTAACAACAATCTCAAGTGGAAGGTGCTAAGGTATATGAAATTAAATATGGAAATAGCTATCATAAAATTGGGACATGGTCAGTGATTTTCCCACCATAAAATGAGAATAATCTGCTGATAAAGTGAGTTAGTAGCCCTGTTTTGCAGGATGTTTTAGGGTAAATACTTTACCTTTTCTCTCCAGTCTATGGGTCTTAGCTGTGTGTGCAGAGAATGAAAGCTTCACCTTATGCTCTGGCATTTCAGTGTGTTTGAATTCTACATGTTTTGTGCCTGTATCTCAGAGCAGGGTTTGCAAACATCTCCCATTTTTCATGTCATCTTTGGGTTAGACCTTACCAAACTATCAAGCTCTGGGGCAGAAAAAGAAACAAGTTCTAATGTACAAAATATTTCTCATTTAGTTGTATTACCTATTTCTAAAATCTATTTGAGAAGGCTTAAAATAAAATACACAAGTAGAGTTAGGCCATGAAATAAAAATAGATCAAAAGCACTAAGGAAAGCAGAAGAAAAAGGCCTGTGATTATCTATCAAGAAACACAGGGTCAAATTTTATGTTCAAAGGTAGGGGGAAAATGTGATGAAGTACACTACATTTTCAAATTTGTTATGTTTCTCCCACCATAAAATGAGAAAAGGACTTCAGTGCATGAGTCCTTTAGGAGGAATGTGAAGTGAAAGAGTGGGGCATTGCCTTCCACATCCACTTTATAAAATGGAAGAAATGGTCTTTAAACGAGCACATTTCATGCTCCCACTGCATCATTACTGTGGGCACCATGACACTTAATGTCATTCACAGATGGTGACCTTCGGCAGACATGGTCAGACGCCAACAAGTTTGGCCTTCATGCTCACATTTATTAGAAAAAAGTTTAAACTTTTTAAATACAGTTAGTATTTTAAATAAAGTTAGAAATGTCATAAATTTGAAATTCATATTCAAATATGAAATAGCTTTATGTATTTAATAAAAGAAAAATAACAGAAAAAATAGAGAATAATTAAATCAACATCAATATGCAGGTTTGAAATATTACACTTGCACTTGAAAATGTAGTTGACATTTGGTAAATTTATATAGAATTCATACTGCTGCATCTTAATAAAATATAAATTAACTCCGGCAATTTAACTCCAATGTATTTTGTGATTATGCAAATGAATGTATATAAGTGTATTGGACAGGTTTATTTTTCTTGGAATCTGGTTTCTAATTTATGCATCATAAAAATGATTTTGGCCATAAAAATCACTGTTAATACATTTTAAAAAGAATGTTGAAGGAAAAACTATGTAATATTATTACCCAAAATATAGGCACTAACCATATTTAATCAAGTACACTATTTTAATGCACAACTTACATTCCACTGAGAAAATTGTGGAAGTTCAAGATTCATTTTATGCTGAAAAGAATAAAACATCAAGAGTCTAGTTAAAGAAAAGGGACAGGAGGTAAAACCAGTGTGTTACCATCCAGAAATTTTTCAAGTTCATCAGTTGATTTTCAATTTCTTTACTATAATGAATCAGAAGTACTCCTATAAAAAAAACACACAAAGTTTCTAAGATGAAAATTAGATTCCTTAATATATTGACTAGAGGCTAAAATTATGTAAATATCACATAATTGAAAAAATAATATCATACAATTGAAAAATTAATCTTCTTTATCTAATATGTTTTTCAAATTAAAAGCAAAATATATCATTGGAGAAATATACGGTGTCTTAATATTATAATCAATAAAATAGTATTTACACCATGCACAAGATATATAAAGTTAAAATAAGTACGTTATGACCTAATTCTATTTATTCATGAATAAAAGCTCATTGTTTGTTACTGATTTAGTATGAAAATAAGAGCTTTGCTACACAAGGAGACATTCTCAAGAATTTTTTTCCTAAAAAAAAAAAGAGTACTATGAGCCACCCAGAAAAGATTTTTCTTCCTTTACTTCTCGAATGAGAAATCCAATTTCTCATTGAATTCTAAAGAAACTGCCCATTGAATTACTAAACTAACTCCAAAGTAGCTCTAAGAGAATATCAGTAAAGCACTTGCATTTCAGTTGGAAATAAATTTAAAAGGATTCTAACTTTTATAATTTTAATCACTAACAATAAATGCATAATCAAGTAACATACCAGTATTCAAGTGACACGCCCTTTAAAATCAAAGATGTTTTGTTATATATTTGACATTATGTCTGCAAGAAACTCTGGAACCATACTTCTAACATTACACCAATTATATATATACTTTATTCAACAGGTGAAATCACAGATATTGTGGGGTTCTAAAAACCATTTAGCAGCTTTCTAGGGCAGATTCAACTTTAAAGGGAGACATTGAGAGTCAAAATATGGTGTCATCTTAGTCATATATAAACCTCAAATGAAATTCCAATACAAAAATGTGCTTTCAGTGAACATTTTCCAAAGCAAAACAAAATTCTGATGTGTGTTACTTGATAAAGTTAATACAAAAGCATTTCTGAAAAAAATCAGCTTTCTAATAGCAGTTTTGGAAATACTGCCCCACTGCTTCTAAATTCAAGGCATTGTAAATATTTGGGAGGTGCAGTTTTAAACATTATCCTACTTAAAATCCTGGAGTTGTTCAGATGTGAGATTGAGATGTTTTGTAAAATCAGGAATCAAGTAGGGGACCTCCATTACTTCAGAAGTGCATTTGGGATCCAATTTGAAGATTTAAAGGTCAACTTGATAGATTGTCAAGGACACATGGAAGTGAATTCTCAGACAAGTGACTATGTATTGTTTCAAAAAATCTCACATTTTAATCCAGACTCCGCCACTTAAGTGTTGTGACTTTGAGCAAGTTACATGACTTCTTGTACCTGTTTTCCCACTGAAAATAAGGACAATCAGTCCCTCATAACCCACTGTGGATGAAAGGTCTGAGATAAGCACTAATTCTATGGCAAATTTCCTCATTTCACTGTGCTGGGTGGTTCCAACCACACAAAATTTGTGTTTCTCTAATAATGTTCTAATTGCTATTCCACTTACCCACAGATAGAAGCCTTGATGCAGACATTTCTCCCAAGCCCACAATTTTCCTTCCTTCAATTGCTGAAAGAAGACTTCATAAGGCTGGAACATATCTTTGTCTCCTTGAGGACTTTTTCCCTGATGTTATTAAGATAGATTGGAAAGAAAGGGATGACGAAACAATTCTGAAATCACAGCAGGGAGACACCATGAAGACTAATAACACATACATGAAATTCAGCTGGCTGACCGTGACTGGAGCATCAGTGGATAAAGAACACAAATGTATTGTCAAACACGAGCGGAATAAAGGAGGAGTTGATCAAGAGATTCTATTTCCTTCACAGAAAAAAGGTATGTACGTGTATATATGAATGCAACTTTCCAGTACCTTTTTCTTCCCAAAGGAAATATTCCACCTTTTCTGTCAAATACTAATGAAAAGAAACAAATAGAAACCTTTCATTGATGATGTTACCTTTAATGGTAGCATAAATGTCCTGCTATTTTCCCATAGAATTGAAGTAAAATGGACTTTGGAACATACAGAGAAAAAGAAAAAGACAAATTCACTTAGTCTTTCTTGCCTCAGTTTCATCATCCCAACTATGAAGTTCACAGTGATGTTTTTTGGGGATCATTGTACGAATTAAATGAAACAATACACATGAAAGCACCTAGCAACCTCGCAAATCATAAATGCTCAAGAACCACTTTTGATGATCTTACTTTATCAGGAAATAAGAACAATTATACATCTTTCAGGAATATTCTATTCAGCGGTCAAAGTCCTTCTCACTTCAGTCTTGCTCTACACAAAGTATAACCCATAAACAATGAGATAGAAGCTACAATAATTTGGTCACTATGGTTTTAGTATGGTCTTAGATTTCTCAGATTTGAATTTTATATACCACTCTAAGGTGAAGTTTGGTAAATAAAGATTGGGTGAAGCTAATGTGTACAATTATTCTTCCATTCTACATAATGGATATATTCCTTACCATTGGTAAAGCTGCTCAGCAAACATTATTGCAGTCCTAGGGTGTGCCAGGCCTGGTAGAGATGCAGAACGAACTACTGCCCCAAGGAGGATCACTACAGTAGAGAGAATATAATTTTCCTAATCACTCAGGGTCACTTGTGATTCAGGCATGATTCAGGCATTGTGTCCCAAATGAACCTCATTGGGGCTTATGCTGGACATATTTAGACAGTGTGGGCAGACAGCTGAAGGTGCCCTGACCCGGCTGTGGTCCAGTAACTCACTAGACTCAGTCAAGTCCTAGCATTAACATCACAGACCAAGACCCCAGAGGGACCATGAGAAGGAACCAATCTGTACTTTCCCTGCGGTTCATAAGCCCTTGGGAAGCAGCGGGAAACAAACACATAACAAAACATGCAAAGACCTTTGCAGTGTACCACTCTGAATTGCTGAAGTAAATCTTTATCCTCTTGGATCCTTAGTGTTTCCAACAATCAAATTAGGGTGGAACACTTATCTTTCCTTTCTCCTGGCATGTGATGAAGAAGCGCAATAATGTCAGTGAAAATGCTTGTTTCTGAAAACATGAGATGGATACATTTATTCATCTGTTTATTGTATTTATGTATATTTTTCTAATAACTGGTGTAAGATTACAGACAGCCCTAATTTCTTATTTCTACCACTAAGAAACAGAGAGGAGGCAAATGAGAAAAACACAAGTTTAATGTAACCACTGGGCTGAAGTCCTTTAGGTATTGATTTTTATAGTGATCAAAGTAAAAATATACTATATTACATTCTATGGTGATGATAATAGAAAAGGGAGGTGTTTTTATTCATGATGTATTTTACCTGGGAATTAATTTCTGAAAGGAATGTCTCCCAAGATCTTCTCATAGCAACAAAGCTATTGAGGGCATTTCTGTTAATGCCTTTCTACAGCAAATTTCTAATGCTGTTTCTTGTTAGTTTTTTGTTTGTTCTTTTTGTTTTTGATGAAAGCTAAGAATATATAAAACATGGAAGCCCAAATCCATGAAGTAATTTTGGAAAAGATAAAACTATTCTGGTCCAAGTTTTCAATCAACGTGATTGAGAAAAAAAACCTAGGGTACACCCACAGATTTTAATTTGAGAGATTGTTACATTGTTACATGTTAAATTGAGAGAATGTTTTTCAGTCAATCAATGTGTGGTGATTAGAAATTTTTATTTCTCTTTTAATGAGTAAAACCACTATAGAAAAGAAAGGGAATTTTAAGACACTTTAAGTCAGTTCTTGAGAATATTTTAACACCAAACATGATTATATATACTTTTTTATTCTCGGGATTTACTCCAAAGCCTACAGCTCAGATTTATTTGTTAAGAGTGTACCAAAATAAGATTGTGTGGAGTGAACGATTTGCATAACAGAACCATATAGGTATGGACAAGGACACATCAAGCAGAGAAAGGATAAACCAAAACATGTTGGGACTCTCTTCCTCCATCCAACAGTCAATGATCTTTTCAAGGATTTTTGTCTTTGTGTGCATGTTGGGTTTTGTTTTTGTTGTTGTTTTTTACACTGTAAAGAAGTACAACCCTCACCTCAGTTTTATATATTCAGAAAACTATAATTATTAGTTGGCCCATCTTTTTATCCCTTGAAAGAAGTGGACTGAAATGTTAAACTTCTGTAACAGAAGGGTCATTTGTTAAGAGTAATTAAGATACTGGAAGAGATGATGTCTGAGAGTCTACAATGGTGGACTTATTATCCATTTCTATGGATTGTTTTACAAGGTATTTTCCACATGCTCTAGTTCATCTAAACCCTCACTCCTTTGAATGCTGGCTCTGCCAATCACTGGTATGACTCCCAGCAAGTTACTTCGACTCTCTAAACCTTATTTCTTCATGTCTAACATGAATATAGCCCACTTTAGTGTCACTGGGGGGATCAGATGACCTAATACATGTGAACATTTCACATAGTGCCTGGCACAGTAATGATCACTCAATAGGTATTGGCTTTCATTAGGATTGTTGTCATGTCCACAAACACCACCCCTCACTCCAGAAAATCATGTGTAGGAGTTGAGGATACTAGGAACATGCATGATTTGGAAATGTAGGGCCCCTTTCTTTTGCTTAGAAGGGGAATTTACCTAAACCAGACTCCTTCTAACATGTAAGATTCTGCCGTGCATTCTAGGGTTGGATGAATTCATTTTGGTAGCAATCCTTCATGTAGGCAGTGGGTGCTGAGGACGGTACAGCAGCCAATGTTTCTAGTTATTTTTCCATTTAACAAGTATTTATAGAACACCTACTGTGCAGCAGGCACTATGCTGGGAGCTATGAGCACAGAAGGAAAACAAAATTGTCTTAGACATGACCCTCCAGTGGTGAGAAAAGAAGAAAAAAATGTATCATTCATGAACTTCAACATCTTCATGTGCAGAAATACAATATATGAATTGATCTACTGAATTATATACTCAGAACAATCAGTTCTGGAATTGTGGGGCTCATATTAGTAATGACTCTCCCCTCTTGGTTGACAAATTCTATCTATCTATCTACTTATCCATCTATCCACAACACAGACACCTGTCAAATAACGGATATGAATAATTGAATACTTGTCCTCATTTCTTTTAGAGCTTGCTGCTATAAACTCCACAAAACCTTCTGTGAGATATAAAGATGGTAAGATTTTGTCTATGTTTGCCTTTATGTTATGCTATAGCACTTTTTCCTGCAGATCAATTTAACCTTTGAACTTCCCAGGCTTCAGGGAGAAACCTCAGAATGGCTGGATCTTGCAAAATAGACTGAGTGATATTTAAGTCAATCCATCATTTCTCAGGAGTCATCTTCACACAGTAAATGCAGGTTTGGGTGTGAGAGAACTATAAATTAGGGTTGCAGTGATGTGCTCTGAATTCTTTCAACAATGGACTTCATTTTTTCTGTAGCTTTTGTTTCTACTGACTGAGGAAAACATGATATCAAGTTGCTTCTATATTTTTAAGTCCTTGTTCTTGCTGGTGGTTAATAACATGAACCGACACTGAGAGCTTCTTGTACAGAAGGTGTTGTGCTGCACTGTGAGTGCATTTTGTTTAATTCCCTTAATACTCACTGTGAAGGATTTTATTCCCATTTCACACATGAGGCAATGAGCTAAAATTAATTAAGTCCCTTGCACCACCACACAGTGAGATCAGGGGCTTCAACTCAGACCATCTGAATTAACAATTCATACGCTTTACTCAGTTTTCTATTCTGTTTTTGTCATAAATCAAGATATCCCAAAGCTAAGGCCCTGAGACAGGTGCACACATGGGGAGGGGGTGTAAGTGCAAGGTTTCAAATGCCACAGACTGGACATTAACCCCAGTCCTTTAATTTTTAGCTACGTGAATATGAGTACAGTAGTTACATTTTCTGAGCCAAGCAGAAATAACACAAATAATGCCTCATTCAGTAATTGAAGACATAAGGTCACATATGTCTAACATAGGATATTTCACTTAGCTGACACATAAGTACTAGCTTCAGGACTTTTATTCCAACATATGTAATAAGAAAGTACAAGGACCATTGGCTCTAGCCCTGCTGATCTGCCCTCCATGTCCATATCAAGGGGCCTCTAGACTTTAGCTAACATGTTACTTGACCAAGGGCCCTTTGTCAAAGAATTATGAGCACAGCATCACTTGATGTTCTTTTCCACACCAAGGGCTAATGATTCTGGAGTTCTGACTCTTTGGAGATAAACACGTAAAAGAAATTTCCATAAGAACAGACTCAACCTGATGGTTCATTGAGTAGCCGATCTGGCCCGCTATCATTGGCATTAATTATTTCTTGATATCATGTATTTCCTGCAAAACCTCAAAGGATAATAAATGCAATTATCCTATAACATCGTAACTACAATAAAGGTATTCAAGAAGGACAAGGGAGCGAGTTTGACCTCCTAAAATTGCAGAGAATTTGGATTTGCCCCTTTCTTTCACTTTTTTATTTTATTATTTTTTTAAGTTTTTATTTAAATTCCAGTTAGTTAACATAGAGTGTGATATTAGTTTCAGGTATACAATATGGTGATTTAAACTTCCACTCATCACCCAGTGCTCATCACAACTAATGCTCTCTTTACTAAAACCTCCCACCCACCCTACCTTGAACACAAGCAAATTTCCATTGATTGTACCCTTGATAGGAATCTCAGCAATGCACAAGATGTAATGGCTAAGATGCTTCTAAATCAGCAATTCATCTTTATATTTATGCTTAACTCTTTGTTGTCAGGAGTATTTATTACACGTGGAGGTACAGAAATACAGAGTAGGTAAGAATGTGTTCTTGAACATTATGTTGCTGGGATTAAAATCTTGCTGGTGGTATTTACTAACTGTATGACATCAGGCAAATCAATTCTCTGTCCTCAATTTATTTGTAAAATGGCAATGAAAATAATAATCTCCTAGGTTATTGAAAAATTAAGTAAGATTAAAGCTTTGCACACAAACCTCTCAAATTAAATGTCTGCCATTTAGTTAGTGATTAAAGCATATTAGATATATTATTACTTACAGATGTGGTGGGGGTGAAGAAATGGTAAAAGCTATTTTTAACCAATGCTTTTTCAGATCGATTCATCAGCCTTACTTTTTAATACTTTAGAATGTTCTAAGTGAATTTCCCATAGGTTGTTGATTGACTTGATCTGAAACCTGGATTCTGAGTTATCTGGTGATGGTGGTGGTGGTTGTTGGTGGTGTAGACGTTTATTGTCAGGTTGTGCTGGTGTGGGGGCATCACTTCAACCTAGGTCATCAGAAATGTATAATGTGACCCCTCTCCCATTAATAAGTCCTAGCCCTTCAAAAGAACAGAAGGTGAAACTAATAAATGACTTCTTTTAGATACCCTGCAGCTGCAGCTCATGAACACCTCTTCCTACTACACCTACCTCCTCCTCCTCCTCAAGAGCCTGGTCTATTCCAGCATCATCGCCATCTGTCTGCTTGGGAGACCAGCATTCTGTGGCAATGGGAAGAGTTCCTAACATATGGTGGCACCAAGGGTCCACTTGTCTCCATTGTTTATTGTCCCTAAAATCGTCTGCTGTGCATCTAGTGGGACTTTCTCTCTAAGTTTGGTATATTTCAGTTCAAATGTGTTTTTTTCTCTTGTGTCATTCTTGCAGAACAGGTTAACAAACCACTGGGTAAACAGAAACTTTCACTCCACAACAAGAACAAATTCTGCCATGACTCAGGGGTGGGGCCAGGGGACCATCCACAGGGGCTTCAGGACCACTCCCTCCTTAATGTCCACCAGCTCCTCAGCCACCTGGTACTCATGTCTCTGAGCACAGCCAACACAAAGCTTCCAGTTGCATCTCTTGGGGCTCTTTAACCAGATAATTGCTTCGAAACCATTTATTTTACACATCTGGACTCCCATCTTTGCTACCTTAGTATTGTACTGCTTTATCATAATAGGCACAATAAAAACAATCAAAAGTGTACATTTGCCTCTATGTTCTTTCACTTGGTACAATCTAACTGAGAGTCCAAGGTAAGGGACAGCATGACAACTGAGGCTTCAAATTCAACACTGGTTGTAATATTGGTCAATTCCACATTTCTAATTCTTTCCCTGAGATAGTCCTTATGATTCCTTCTTTGGGGCACCGGCCCCAGGGCAGCCACAGCCAATGAAGGTGTCCAAGTTATTTCTCTTTCAAAGATTTCAGATTCAGATTCATTTGGTTTAAGATGCTCTGGTGACAACAGTATAACATGTCGCATGACTTGCAGGTGTGTTCAGACCTATCCCAGTGTTTCACAGACACCATGTTCCTGACCTCACAAGAACCCCATGAGAGCCCCACTAACACCAGAAAGGTGGGGTGTTGGAAGGGTTAAGTGCTTGAACTCTGAATTCCAAGGGCTTGAGTCTATAGCTATATGAACTCTCTGTGCCATAATTTTATCATCTGTAAAATGAAGATACAGTGTGCTCTGTCTCCTGGAGTTGTGTAGATGTGATGATTTAATTTTGTTGGGTACATGCGAGTCCTCAACAGCATTAGCATTTACTGTTGGCAGCTCCACCTAGAAATAATAGATAACACACTTGCTCACACACACTCACACACACCCTCAAGGTATGCAATCAGATTTACATGCAACACCATAGCACCATTTACCGCAATCCCAAATTAAGCCCAACACCCAAGAAGAAATGAAAAAAATAAAATAAATGATGTTGTATGATGGACTAGTATGCATTTACACAAAAATGTAGATTGTTGAAGAAATGGAAATTAATCAGAAAGTGATATTGATGTGGTAGCTGGCTGGCTCAGTGGAAGGAATGAAGTGTAAGTTGTAAGCTGGTGCCCCACAGTGAGTGTAGAGATTACATAAATAAATAAAAACTTTTTTTAAAAAAAAAAGAAGGTGTTGTTGAAGAAATATCCATGGCAGGACCCTACTAAAATTGTTAGATTATACATTCACGTGGTTCCAAAATCAAAACACTCTAAAAATTGAAACACAAAATCTTGCTCCAACCACTGTCTCTACCTGCCCAAATCTTACAGGTCCCACTTTTGTTTCTTGCCCATCCTTCCAGTTTTTATTTAGGCAAATATGAATTTAGTTATAAAAAAATAAGTAAATACATATAGATCTAATTTCCTTCCTTCTAACACATGGGTAGTAATGACATACATTATTCTGCACTTCTCACTTATATAACCTTGTGCTATTTTTATGTCGTTATAAAAGAACACGCAGATAGCTGCAGAGTATTTCATTGGCGATTGTATACTTTATAAGATACATTATAAGATCAGCTCCCTGTGGTAGACCAGTGGATTATTTCCAATCTTTTACTATTATAAAATATGCTGAAATATAATATTGTTTTATGTCACTTCAGATGTAGTTACTGGTCATTTTAACAGGTATGTGCCAACTTACCTCGCTAGTCACTTCTTCCATGATGTAGGTGAGTATCAGGAAAATGCTGTCAAACATCACTGATTTTCCTAATCTGACAGGTTAAAAATAGTATCTCATCATGGTCTAAATTTACTTTTCTCTGATGAGGATAATCATCTTTTCATATACTATTGAGTCCATTTCTACTTCTCTTTTTGGGGGGTGCAATATTTGTCCAGTCCTTTGACCATGATTTCTACAAGTAGTAATACTAACAAGTATGACACTCATTTATATATGTGTGTATATTTTTACAAACATGAGTATAAAACAAAATGTTCAATGCATGGTTCATGGGTGAAGAAATAAATGATTATTTTTCTCCATTTCGAATGAATCTTTCTACAGTAGAAGTTTTTATATTTTAGCATAAAACAATGTGTCATTTAAAATGCAGAAGGATCTCAGCCACAACAACTTCTTCCTAGAAACATCACCAAAGGCAAGTGAAACAGGACAAAAATGAACTATTGGGACTTCAAGATAAAAAGCTTGTGCACAGCAAAAGAAACAGTCAAAAAAATGAAAAGACAACCAATGGAATGGGAGAAGATATTTGCAAATGACATATCAGATAAAGGGCTAGTATCCAAAATCTATAAAGAACTTATCAAACTCAACACCAAAAGAACAAATAATCCAATCAAGAAATGGGCAGAAGACATGAACAGACATTTTTCCAAAGAAGACATCCAAATGGCCAACAGACACATGAAAAAGTGCTCAATATCAATCGGCATCAGGGAAATCCAAATCAAAACCTCAGTGAGATACCGCCTCACACCAGTCAGAATGGCTAAAATTAACAAGTCAGGAAATGACAGATGTTGGCGGGGATGCGGAGAAAGCGGAACCCTCCTACACTGTTGGTGGGAATGCAAACTGGTGCAGCCACTCTGGAAGACAGTCTGGAGGTTCCTCAAAAAGTTGAAAATAGAGCTACCCTACAACCCAGCAATTGCACTACTGGGTATTTACCCCAAAGATACAAATGTAGGGATCCGAAGGGGTACGTGTAGCCCAATGTTTATAGCAGCAATGTTCATAATAGCCAACTATGGAAAAAGCCAAGATGTCCATCGACAGATGAATGGCTAAAGAAGTTGTGGTATATATATATATATATATATATATAATGGAATATTATGCAGCCATCAAAAGGAATGAAATCTTGCCATTTGCAACGATGTGGATGGAACTGGAGGGTATTGTGCTGGGTGAAATAAGTCAATCAGAGAAAGACATGTATCATATGACCTCAGTGATATGAGGAATTCTTAATCTCAGGAAACAAACTGAGTGTTGCTGGAGCGGTGGAGGGTGGGAGGGATGGGGTGGCTGGGTGATAGACATTGGAGAGGGTATGTGCTATGGTGAGCACTGTGAATTGTGTAAGACTGTTGAATCACAGACCTGTACCTCTGAAACAAATAATACATTATATGTTAAAAAAAAAGAAGAAGAAGAAGAAGATAGTAGGAAGGGAAAAATGAAGGGGGGGGGGAATTGGAGGGGGAGATGAACCATGAGAGACTATGGAGTCTGAGAAACAAACTGAGGGTTCTAGAGGGGTGGGGGTGGGGGAATGCGCTAGCCTGGTGATGGGTATTAAAGAGGGCACATATTGAATGGAACACTGGGTGTTATACACAAACAATGAATCATGGAACACTACATCAAAAACTAATGATGTAATGTATGGTGACTAACATAACATAATAAAATAAAAAAAAGGAAAAAAATAAAATGGAGAAGGATCTTTTTTTATTTACAATCAGCCTAAGTTTCTGTGCTTTTGGAAACCAAGTAGAGGTTCCCAAGTGGAAACAACATAAGACCCACCAGATACAAGAAAGAGGAAACAATTTTTATCTACTCCTTGATTCTCAAGAATGTGATCAGACCTCTTAGGACAAATGTCTGAGCCTCTACTTAGAGATCTGGACCTGTTTCTGTACGTGGAAAGCATGGAAGTACGGAGGGGAAAATAACAAATGATGGAAAACTGTATGGGGCTGATGTCACTGCTGGGGCTCCTAGGCAGCGTCTCCTGTGGCTTCCAACTCCTTAGCACCTACCTTCTCCAACTGGATCTGGGCTGCCCTGGACTGGGAGGTGCGGAGAGGGGGAAGGTGGTGGTGCAGGAGACAGTGTGGGGGGGCAGGAGGGTGCTGGTGTGGTGATGGTGCCTTATTTTCTCAGGCTTGTTTTGTCGACGTGCTCTGTCAAATGTGGTTGATTCGTGGAAAATGTTTTAAGTCAAACCGGCCCCTGCTGGTTGGGGCTGTGCAAGTGGTGGCTCGGGTGTTGCAAGATGAAGTAAGAACAGTTAAACCACAGCTGACTTTGCTCAGTTCCAAAAGGCCATAGCTAATGGAAAGAATGCTCCTGTCATCAAACATACTGTGAGGCTGTGGGTGAGGGGTTCCCCTATTTTATACCAAGTTCCTTCCAGCACCTGCTACATGAGTCGGGATCATATGACCAGGACTGTTGAGACGCTGCTCCCTCAGTCCACTCCAATGACACTGTTCTGAAGGAAACAGCAAGCAGACTTCTTGTAGCACTAAGTGATCCCCCACATTCTGCAAGGATCTGCACTTTTCCATGGCAGGTTATTTATTGAGGCTCCTATTTTCAGTCTCATTTTGTCAGTGTAGGCAGGGTGACATGAGACCTGTGCCCATGAAGCTACCAGCACAGGTGGACTATAGACATCACAACAGCAGGTGCTTCTTCCCTCACAGGAACATAGCCTTATGGAGGCCCTGAGTTCACCTGTGTCACTGAATGTCATAGACTGAGTCATCTCACTCCCTCTAAAGGAACAAATCACAGTAGAGTCAAAATTAAAGCAAGTTTCCATAGAAGTCATGCACATCAGATAAGTGTGCTGGGGGTGGAGCAGAGAACGGCTGTTCAGCAATGTGAGCACAAAGAGAAAGTGTCCTCACCCCCACCCCACCCAAGCACACAACAGAGAGGGGGCGCAGTCCCAGGATCCAATCTGTTCAGTTTCTGGCAAAGTATAACTCTATTGCTAAGATCAGCACCCTAGGCTTTCACAGTCTGACCTCACAGCACATTCTCACCATAGATTTCACTCCCCTTGTCTGTGTTTGAGATCCACCTTCTGGGTGAGCCTTGATCCCATGAGCATGGGCCCCATGCCATAGGTTCTGTCTAGCATGTGTAGGTGAGGGCACATTCTTAGGGTAAATTATATGCTTACATCCATCTTAGGCATCATCTGTGGGTCTGGTATGAATGTGGCTCCCTTCCTGAGATAGGATATTCTAACTGTGGCCACACCTCTTACTTCTTGAGATTTGCGTCCCAAGGCCAAACCCTACAGACCCTCCTCACCCCTTTCTCCACCATAAGAAGCTCTTTCTGGTTAGACTTCAGCCTCCCACAGCCCCTCCCGGTGACACTTCTGTCATTTGGTCCATTCTCACAACAAGCACAGATGGATGATCTGACCTGCACAAATCAATGGTCTGTTTCCACCTAGACC